GCTCTGCTGGGGCCACTATCAATTTCGCCAACGCCTGGTGGCTAAAGCAGAAGAATTAGGGGTCCGTGTTATTATCCCAAACGAGGCCTATACTTGTACAAGTGCCGGAATTGTGGAACTGTAATGAAAATGGCGCTCGGGGAATCTTTCTCCGGGCATTGCTTGATGGGGCCTTGATTCTCTCCGGAGATCATGCAGGAAATAGTAGTAGTAGTAGTAATGCCTACTATTGATATGTTACAATCCATCTGATACCTACAATGAGTATTTGAATTCACTGATATTTATAGTGAATGCACAGCTATTCTATTAATAAATCTGACAAATAAGCATTATATGCAACAATTTGTAATGTTTGCAATAAAATCTACAATATTCTCGATTTGATTCCAATATCAGAATTCTAACAAATTGATAACCAGACAGAGTAGTACAAAGATATTTTCCAATAAAGTTATGTTAGCTTCTGATATGCTATATCAGTAGCAACATTTTGGCTACTATCATCGCTACTGGCAAGAATACCAAGCCTGAATCATTAACATCCTCCAAAGAAGTTATGCTGCCGTTGATATTATAGACGCATTCACCGAGACACGTGAGAATGTTACCAAATCACTTGAAACTTGGCTAATTTGTAAGAAAAAGGTCTAGGTCGAGCCAGTATTTATGATTATTCCCTGTTTACCGTCACTTCTTTAATATATCCCATTATTAGGTAAACCGACCCTCCCAAAATTTCATTTTGCTCTTCCACCAACAAGATCCCTCTCTGTCCATTCAGTTGAGCACGCGGGACAAACCTTATTATTATTTGATCTGGCATAGTATACCTGCGCACAATGATGATGAAATCGTGCCTTGCACTTTGTGGTCTTACAGCGTTGACCCTGTTAGAATTGTTGCAGAGTGAGCGATAACATGGGATTACAAAGGTTTACAGACAAACTACGTGACAATTACCTTAGTAACAATTTCGTAACACAAAGTGCATTCTAATATGTAATCCTCAAACTCCTCCTTCAACAAACTCTGTAACTCTAGTATAGCTCTCGCACTCATTGAATATCTACCTGATCTGATAGATCAAACGGTAAGAAAAAGAAGAAAGAATTCGATCAACGCATAATTATTATGGAAAACTCACGAGGATCTTATAAGCCACTTATCATCTACAAATTTCTGTAATAATGCTTCTGTTGCAGTTTTTGTAATTTGTGGTTTCAACAACGGACCTTCTCGCAAAGCAGAGATCGAGGACACTGAGAATGCTTCGCCATCTGCAGTTACTATCAGTTCAAGCTGAGACAGAAAGCTGAGGCTCGCAAGAGCTTGATAGAAAATGTCTTACTTAAACCAAATTAAAAGATGTTCTTACAATTCGTCTGAAAAAAGCGATTTCATTCGGTGAATATTCTGTCGCCAACTTCGCAACCTCGTCTCCGTTTGTGTTTACCTTTATAAAATCTCACATTAGGTTATTTGACTTTACGGAATGTAAAATTATAGCATACGAAAGGCTCATGAGACATAGTTTCTAACCAGTGCCCAAACCGTGTTTCCATTTTCTTCGTCGTGGCTCTTGCGAAATTCCATATCAACTCGATGGAGCCTATCGTTTAATGCTGCCATAAAATCATCAAAGCTTTCGATTTCATATTCCACTGAAAACAAAATAGACGCAGCATTAGAATCAACATCGTCAAGCGAATATATTAATTGCGCAAAGTATTAAGACGGCTTGTTCTGATAGTGAGGTCTGGGCCATACTGATATACCTGAAGTCGCTTCACAGGACTTACGGTACATTTCTTCTGCTGTGGTCTCTGAAAAGATTCGTTCTGCAATAGAGGCTTGCAAGAAAAGACGGTGTGTATCGTTGTAAGCGAAAGTCATTGTTTTGAGGACAACTTATGCAATAACATTGACGAGAATTAAAGTAGAACGCGTTGCACACAACAATAACCAGAATGTGGCTTAGCATTTATCACGTGAGCGTTGAATATAGTATTATCTTGTAGACGAAACAATAATTGTCAAATATCTTGGGTATTGGAGGATTATCAACAAGTGCTCAGTATTACAACAATTCTACAAAAGTATCGGACACCATAACTTTATCAATTGCTCTAAAGTGTACATGCTAAAGTTTTATATTAATATGTCATAGTCTAACTTCTTATGAAATGCGGAGACAATTTTACGTGTTTATATTTATTTCTTTTATAAACAATATAATAAACGGGATTGGTGTTTTTATTTTAATCTTTTAACTTGAAAATGTCTGACTTAACCGAAGGCCAAATTATCGGACTTTTTAAAAGTGGTGCTACAAAACGAGCATATCTAAACTCTTGGCTTCCCTAGAGCATCAGTAATACGAACAATTTAAAAAGTCTTGCAACCCAACCACGCACTGGCTCTACCGAACTATTAGGAAATCGCCTAAATTGGTGTGTTGAAAGAAATAATTGAACCTTATTGAACATTTATGGTCAGAGCTGGAAAGGCGTATTAGAAAAAATATTAGGGAACTTGAGACGGCATTACAGGAGGAATGGAGCCAAATTACTAACGATGTTTTGATAAAGTAGGCCTAGAAGAGTCGAAGCATGTATTTCGAGTAAGAGCTGGCCAACAAAGTAAGTCTTATAATGGATTTACAAGAAGCTAGACTATAGTATATAAAAATTTTAGCCTCAATTATTATGTACACTTTTGAGCAATTAATAAAGTTAGGATGTCCCGATACTTTCGTCTAGGTGCTATGTTTTCTGTTGATAATTTAAACATATATCACATGATTCGAATAAATTCTATTGGATCTGCCCATAGATGATACACAAAAAAGTCTACGAACTTTTGTTGCAAGTTCGTGGATCATGGTAAGTAACCATACTAGACTATCATTTTATATCTTACGATAGCCTCTTACTTTTACAATTCAATAGTCACACTCTATTAAACATCTACGTCCGTCAACCGCCGCCCTATGGGCAAATCGACTAGGGCTGACTCGGTAGCTAGACCTTCTACAACTCTTTGTATCATTTTTCAATCCTAGTACGTGTATTTTGCTGAAAATTTCTCGTTTGCGAATAGCAATGCCCTTCCTTGCTTTGTAATGTCAAGCCGGACTCGGCATAGATACACATTTATAGCATCATATGCAACGGAAGCAGCTGCTGGTGGCGCTCCCGTTGAACCAAAAATTAAATTGCCTGCACCAGGAGGAAGTAACACTGTAGATGCCAAGATATCCAAGATTGCAGATGATATCTCATCACTCACGCTAATGGAAGTTTCACAATTACTTCAATTATTAAAGGTATGCAATTGTCCGCCTTGTTCAAAGAACGAAATTATGATATATTCATGAAAAAGCGCACTTTCTCAAGTTCAGCTCACGTGTACTAGTTCATAAATCTCCAACATTCTGCTTGTAGACTCGCTTAAACATACAGGATGTTGCAATGCCTTTACCAAGCATGGTAGCTCCTGCTGCCCCGACAGACGCTGGGGCCCCCGCTGCTGAGGTTTGTGGTTTACCTATTATCACTGGTGACATCTTTTGCAGAAAGGTTTAAGGCTTTGCATTGACATTCATTGCAGGAGGAGAAGGCACCCGAGAAGACGGAATTCAAAGTCAAGCTGGAGAAATTTGATCCGGCTTCGAAGACGAAAGTAATCAGGGAGATGAAGAACATATTACCAGGAATGAACTTAGTAGAGGTAAATTACATGCGACGTTGCACAAGTAAATCTCGTCACTTATAATTAACTTATCTATCGCAGGCCAAGAAATTCGTTGAAAGTGCACCAAAAGTTATTAAAGAAAGCGCAAATAAAGAAGAAGCAGAGAAGATCAAATCGACACTGGAAGCACTTGGCGCAACCGTTGTATTGGAGTAAGGAAGAGGTAAAAATGCAGTAAAGGAGCATACGATACGCGATCACGACATAATGTCACAATATCATTAAACGTCTGAATTCAAGGATGTACAGTTAAACTTGACTCGAACTTTAGATAAATATTTTAATTAGCTCCAGTCTTTCTTAATGTCGAAAGACTGCATAGTACAAATAAAAGCAACGAATCAGAAATGAGTTACAACAAAGGACAAAGACTAATCAAAATATCGTTGCTAACTACATACCCAACTCCACTGAACGTGAACTTTTCCATCGTCATCAACGAATTTGCTCTGTATAAAGATGACGTTAGCAACACTCAACTTTGAAAGAATGAGAAATCACCTTTTTAAAGTGTCGTACCTTTGCCGTATAATGACCACGGTATAAAATTCCGCTAGGTGCTTCTTCGAGAGGAAACTGGATGAGGCGTTTATTTTCTCAAATTAGTACTATTCAACGAAACCAGAATGTGTGAGCAATTCAATAGTATACACTAAAAATGCACCTTTTTCTCATAAGGTTGGTCGGACGGACCATAACTACCAATCATTTCTTCCATTTTGTCTGATCAGAGAAAAAAACGGTTAAAAAATAAGCTGGACATAGGTAAAATATTTAAAATATTCTTTCTACATCTCATTATCACTGACAATGACGTAAATTAATTATGGCAATCGAGCATAGGTAATTAATTATAAGTGATCTTGCACTGTCTGTATTGTTAGCTATTATGCCCAGTATTGATAACATAAACGCGTTACCTCGAATTCCCTTTCTCTTGACGACTTGCAAGTATTTAAGGCCGGTGATCACTTCATGTTGGATCCTGTACAAAAGAAAACTACGTAAGGAATCGCCCTGCTCTCCCTTACTTGAACGGGTGATAGAATTCTTATTCCTACTTACTTGAACTTGACTTTCATTCGATATTCGACACCTTCTTTAATTACGAATGGCTTTTTTTTTATTTCTTCCAAATTTGCTAGATTTAAAACATGTGCGTGCGTTATGATATTAGGCAATGTTATTCTCCGGAAGAACGCACACAAGTTTGTAACAAGACGTACTTGTATTAGACAAGTCCAGGACAACATCCGGTCTACCCGCAACTTCCAAAGCTAGTTCAAGAATAACAACCTTTTCCACGCAAAAGTACGAGTAAATACAGACTATAATTATAGTGAGCGCAATGCAACCACGACACATACCCTACGTGGATCATCTGCCGGACCTGAAGTACAACCAGCAAAGAAAGCATAGAAACAGTTAAACTTTGCTTTGACAAACAACAGAGCGCAATTAATATATATGTATGTGTGTATGCTAACCGGGTACGCTACTGGTCAGACCAAGAGATTCCTTCCATCTTTTCAGAGACTCGTCATTAGCGTCTAGATTCTGATACTCCTGAATGGACTTCTTTTCAGTAATTTTGTAGCCAGGGGTCGCACTAGGCCCAAAATCTTCATCCTGATCAGCCGTGTTTTCCGACATTGTTGAGAGGTGGGTTGTTGAGGTGAGAAGTAAAACTCTGTAAATTTAGCGCCTTTTGTTCATTTACGCTGGCTGTTGGTTGGCTAAGGTTATCTGCAGTGACACTTCCTAATTGCAGTAAAGTATTGGGTATTACATAGTTAGTGTCACGGTCACAAATGACGACAGTAATAGTAACCGGAGACTTTTTAACGAAAATATACATCTTAATGTGCACGGACTCGTTAGATCTTCTCTCTCCCTCGGGCTTTTTGAAAAAGTCATTGTCCGATAATTTCATAGAGACTAAAATTTTTACAAGACATTCTCTGGCTCATAGGTTTATTTAGGAACCGTGCCAAAAATCGAAAGCGGAATATTTGGTCATATTCAGGAAGTCGTGCGACATAGCGTATATTGTGAAAACCACCCATTTTGTAGATGTGAGAAATTTTAAGTCTTACACCCCCTTGACAATAATTCTATAAGCTCGCCAATCGTTTAATAACTTGTAGGTTACATCCAGACAATTGGTTTGAGTATCTTTGCATTACACCTAATTATATGTAAAATGTGTTAATTATAATTATTGCAACCAAATCATGTAAGCCGTAAGCGCAAAACGATTATATGAAGAGTGTCCGCGGAAACGTTTACGCATTAACCAAATGTCTTCGTAACAATGCTTATACTGCCGTTAAGCACATTTATCGCGTGACCAGTTTTGATGTGATTCCCTGTTTAATGAAGAGCTAATGAAGAACATGATGATGATGATAGTAATAAAAAGCAATAAAGTCTTATAAAATCGATGATAGTAACAAAGACCGATTATTAGTAGTACTAATATGGCATTAGAGAGTTTCGCTTTGTTAATTTCTCTCAATTCTTGTATTACGATGAACACATTCCATTGACGTTATACGTTGACCAATGACGCTTATTTTGGTCAAGAAGAGCATATTTTCTATCCTTTAGAGATTCCAACAATTGTTTAAAAGTACAAGCAAAAGTTACTCTACAAAATAAACAATTTGTATGTTAAAAGCCAATAAAATTTAACGCTCAATTATCAAATATGGTTTTCATAGGCTAGCGCTTCTAAGAATCTATTCGACGAATGACAAACAGCTCAAGACTACATAATTTGTCATTCCGTTTGTGTACGATTTTTAGTGAATGCTTTTGGGCTAAACGATTAGCTTCTTGTTCTCACAGTTAGTCATAAGCTTGTTGGTGAAGGAGATGTTCTCGGTAAGAGTTTCAGGATTCTTTCAAAAATATCTTGTAGAGCAAATTTTTTACTCTTTTCAATAACTAATGTCTGGCCAACTGTCCAGAATGTCATGGTAGCATTTACAAATACAATACTTCTATTTAAGCAAACGAACAGCCATATAAGAGGTTGCCATACCCAAGATGTTTCGGTCTAGCAACCTTTCAGAATGCAAATTGCACGTGCAGAACTAATTCTTAAAACTAAAAATCCAGCTGTAAACTCATCTCAAAGTTTAATTAAGACTTTTGGCTATACGTGCGACTGATAGAAACTCGAGTATGATGATGACCTGCAACTGTCATTATGGCAATTGCAGCGACCATGTTCTTGTGCATTCTGACAACTTCACAGTATGGAAGTATTTGCTATAAAACACAGCCAATAGTTCTTGACAGAAATAGAAGATATAATACTTGCATTTCAAAGTGTTATTGAAACAAGAAACATTCTTAATCCTATACACCAATTTTACAGTATCGATAATGATAAAACTTGGTATTACTCGAATCACCAGATACGGTTACAAGAGCCATTACCGTCGGATAATGCAAACAATATTAACCCTCAAAATTTTTGGGGGCCTAACTATTAAGCAAAAATAAAGAACGCCGTGAATGTTTCCCTGCATCATTTCCTTCGCCCAATTTGACTCTTCACAGAACCGACCACAATGATAGACCAAGACCCCAACGATATGGATCTCGATGATTCGATAGACAAGCACCATTCACCTATGGTAGTTGGCTCAGACGTCAGTTTGGACGACGACGATGCCGACGACCTTGACATGAAGAACATGGCTATCAAAGCGTGGCTGGTGAAGGTATGCGGAATGTTCTTCTGGTCGATCGGTATGTGAGGAAGCTTTATTAACAGAAACGTATGCTCTGGGAACAGTTGCCCAAGTTCCTGTTCGAAAAGTGGTGTGATATAGAGAGTGATGACATAGATCTGGGTACAGTACAGATCTCCAACGATGAGTAAGTGTTGCTTGCATTCTTTCGGGTTAGGTCATGGGGTATTCTGCTTCTTCTTTTGGCTAAGCAATTTACTTGTAACGTGTTCGACGTATTTAGCCTGGGTCCTGGGGCTAATAAAGTCTGTATCTTTACCTCGTTGCTATTTTTGAATAACCGAGTGCTACTAACACACGTTATGCGATTTAAAAGATAAGATTAATATTATCGAATATTGATGCACACACCGAAATACCAAAGGAATATGAACTTCAAATTATAAATCAAGATGTAAAAGATATCTATACTTTCTATCAAAACAAAGAATCTGGAGGTATTTGTTAATTACTTGATCTTTTAGTATTGGATGCTGTTGAACGATCGCAGTTTGACCAAACGGTTTATTGTATAGCTGTATCTTTGGCGGCTACAGTGCACCATAACTGTCTCTCAAAACCCATATTGACGGGTGATTACAGTAGAAAATTACGAGAGCGCACTATGCAGGCTGGACAACCTAAGCGAGCTATTAAGATGATGGATGAGAATGAGAATCGTGGGGCCTATGTTCCGCCTGGATCATCCGGCGCTGCAATTACTAAGTTCGGCAATCTAGTGGTATGTGTTTGTTGTGTGCATTGGGGAATTACCCGACGACTTTGCTACAATCACTCAAACACGGATGTTTACCAATTAATGCCTATCTATATATTTGCAGCAAAAGAAACAAAAAGTTTCGATCGAACAAAAGACAACTCGTATGCCGAAGAACGAACTTATTGATTTATTGTTCAATGCGTTCGAGTTGTACGCATATTGGTCGCTAAAGGGATTAAAGATTTATGTCAAACAACCGGAGGTAATATATGTTAACGTTCATATTGTCGTTATGTAATATATATACAAATGTCTGTATGTCTTGTCTGGGTGTGTGTCTTGTGGAATTTTACTAATCTACTAAGCATATTGAAGTCCTATTTAAAAGAAGTATTGAGCGAGATCGCTACGTTAGATAAAAAAGGAGCGTACACCAATTGCTATCATCTGAAGTCCGAGTACAGTCGTCACGCTGCAACCAATGAATCTATTGCCCCAGTTGGATTGGTATCAGGCAACTCGGGTGTTTTGTTGATGGATGATGACGACATTGCTCTTGAAAATAATGACGATGATGACGAGATGGTTGAAAATAACGACGATGATTGAATATGAGCGTCGATATCAATAGAATGACTGGTACAGAACATGTGTATTATTCAATAAATTGGGTGTCTTTATGAAGGGAAGCTCTTGAAACAAATCACGAGTTCAAAATCGTAAAGTCGCTTTTAATAAATTACATTAATCAGTGTAAGGTTTGCATATGTACTATGGGGTCTTAATGTAGCGGTTTTCCTTGACAAACCAAATAAGCTATCAAGATGAGTCTCGGTTGTAAATACTAGTGGAGCCCTTCACAAAATTCCTGCATGTTATAACTCGACGCTATCGTCCTACTGTAACTTAAACACAAAGCCCACGGCGAAGCAACAAGAAATTACCTTTGCTGTCGTGGCGGAACGAAATAATTTAGCAAAACCCATAACGACCTGTGCAATCGTAGGTGCAGCCCGTAAAAGAGCGCAAATCTCCATCAACGTTTGTTTCTGTAGCTATTATTTTTAGATGATCAAGGCATTGTTTATACATTTGCAAATAAATTGGTAATGCAACCAATTCAATAAAGGACTCGTTTTAATAAAGCCATTATATTGACGTAGAATGTGGACTTATGAAAACTTGCTTGTTTGCTTAATCAGTCACTGTCGTCTACTAGCCCAGAATAACTTACTTGTTGAGCCAAGTAAGATGCAAATTCATATTGTCTTATACTAACACCTTAGGAGACTTGGATGTCGCTCAATGTGAAGTGGCCGTGCGCATATTAAGGCAATAGGTTTGAATATTTTAGCACAATTTTCACCGGCTACTTGCCACTTTTACTTTATGACAAAGCACGGCTCAATCATCACCATTTTTGAAAAGAATGATGTTGCTTATTTCGAACACGTTGGAAAAAACTATGCCAAATGTGTAATTGACAGTTGCATGTGTCATAGAAGTCACCTTAAAAACAGTTTACGATTAGAGCAAACCGATAGAACGAACATGTTGATAGTATACTGCCAAAAAGAAACATTTCTACCGAACGCAAGGAATGTCTACAAAAAAGAAGTTGTAAGAAATCTCTCGGCCGTCAAGTGGGAATCCACCGTTCGCGAAACTATTACTATTATTATTATGCAAGTAATACACATAGACCGTATAATCATAACCAGTTTGCCTTTGTTGATGATCTCTGGTTAATCATACAAAATATTGTAATAACAGATCTGGGAGTATAATTTGTACATTATTACAAATCGATCACTCTTTGCATTATTTGGTAAAGTCAAATTCCCCTATTGAAGCGATCTTTTAAAACGAGTAACGTTTTAGGTTAGGATAGACAAAGCAAAAGTCGATATTTTGCTTCTTCCCACTTGTTAATATTTCTATCCGATTGTACGTTTGTATCAATGTACATGCGCAAAAGTCCTTGGAAAAGTGGCGGTGACAAATCTTTTCTTCCAGAAGGTTGGGAAATTACTAATGTAGAAAGACAAAAACGCATAAACTTTCTACCCTTAGCGTGCGGAAACTGTCGTCATCTTTCGGAATTTACCTTCAATTTTTACCCCATGATTTTATAAATATTAGATCCACAAATTTATCCGATCATAAACACAAACATATATAAAAATTCCATTTCAGGACGAGACCGAATAACCGGCTGGTTAAATATATTTAGCCGCATATAATTGCATTCGCAGAGTTTATCCGTATAGGCCAATTACATGTGCTTTCCGATTTAAAGTTTCCAGTTTAGTAATAATTTGTTTATTATACTACTATCGAATCTCACAAAGCTGTTGGGAAAAATGTATAAATATGACTGCTGCGATTCATCGAATTCACAGACATCTGCTTGCAACAGATGGTATTCGAGATAACAGACTGAAAAAGAAACAGTACCAGTAAAATAACAATAATTGTTTAATATTAATATAGCTCTTCTTATTCTAGTCTCAAGCATATTAATAATAATAAATAAACTAAATCAGAGAAACAAATACAAAACAAAAAAAAACAACCACAAAAAAAAAGTAAAATATAAACGATAATATACAAATCAAAAATGACATTTACCGACACCGAATCGAGCACGACAGCGACAGTGAATAATAGTCAGGAATCAACAACGGATGTAGAATCACAACCCGAAAAACTAGGGTCAAAAAATGCAAAAAGCGAACCTTTGGTGCAACTGTCGCGTTGGCGACTATTCTGGGTTATGATCGGGTATTTTTCTAATTTACTTTGGATAGAAGGAGATGCCAGTTATTAAACAACGTTTTCTAATCATTACAATATCTGCCCTTTTAGTCTTGGCTTTGCCATTTTTCTAGCTGCATTAGATCAAACCATTGTCGCAACATCACTATACAGGATAGGTTCTGACTTTAACGCTTTGAACGAAATTGCCTGGGTTGCAATCGCATATCTGTTAACAGCTACCGCATTTCAACCAACATACGGAAAGATTTCTGACATATTTGGAAGAAAAGCAACATTTTTGTTTGCCATTTTGGTATTCGAATTGGGTAGCTTGTTATGTGGATTGGCACCAAATATGGTAAGTAGGAAAAGCTGTATAAAAAGAAATTTCGTACAAAAAAAAACCCCCCAAAAAAACCACCATTCTCAACTCACAATGCTTTTCTATTCTATTAGACACTACTGATAATATTCCGAGCTATAGCAGGAATTGGAGGTGGTGGTATAATAGGCTTGGTAATAATTATAATTGCAGATATTGTTAGTCTCGAAGACAGAGGAAAATACCAGGGTCTTATCGGTGCAGTGTTTGGTATTGCGTCAATTGTCGGTCCTCTATTGGGTGGGGCTTTTACCGATCATGTTACTTGGAGGTATGGATTGCGAAACAAGGAAAGAGTCCTAATGCCTCTGTTTGCCTAATTAACTGATTTCTCGATTCACAGATGGTCTTTCTACATTAATTTGCCGTTTGGAGCAATAACGCTTGTCATTGTAATCTTCCTGCTACAACTTCCCCGGCCGCAAGGCTCGTTTATGAGGAAACTCGCCCGTGTCGACTGGTGGGGTACCCTGTTAATGGGAGCCGCGACGGTTTGCTTGTTACTACCTTTAAATTGGGGCGGAGATCAATATGAATGGAACGATCCAATAATTATCTCCCTCTTTGTTGTGGGGGCAGTGCTCTATGCAGCTCTAATATGTGTCGAGGGATTTATAGCTGTCGAGCCCATCATTCCGCTTCGACTATTCAAAAGTCGGACTTTGGTGTCAAGTCTACTGGTCAACTTTTTCCAAGGAATGGCATTCTTGGGCGCTATCTATTACATACCGTTGTATTTCCAAGTTGTCCATCATGACTCGGCAACTATTGCGGGATTGGAATTGGTACCATTCATTCTTGGTGTTGTGTTTGCATCAATTATATCCGGACAAGCAATGTCGAGGGTACCAAAGCTAAGAAAACAAATATTCTGTATTGCTGGCTCGGTGCTAATTACCATCGGAGCGGGACTGATAACCACATTCGACACTGAAACTAACCGTGGAAAACAAATCGGGTATTTGCTCATTATGGGAGTTGGAGTAGGGTTGATTATGCAGACGACACTGCTGATTGGTCAGGCTTCTGTCGTGTTTTCGGATGTCGCTGTTATTTCTTCGGTTCTGATGTTCTTCAGGACAGGTGAGCATTTTTCACGTATACACGGGTACAGAGTGTGGTAGAAATGGTGTGGAGAGCGCGCGAAGTAATCTGTGATATACTCATCTTCTCTCTTTGTTTGCTTTATCTAGTTGGATTTGTTTTCGGAGTTGCCATAATAGGCACCGTTTTCAATAACGAACTCCGTAATCAGATCGAATCATTAAACATAGACCTCTCCTTTGACGTCCTTAAGAAGAATACGAATATCATCACGCAGCTTCCTCCAAACGTGGAGGGCCAGGTTATTAATGCCTACGTGCAAGCATTACAACTGGCATTCACATGTATAATTCCAATGGGTTGTTTATCTTTCTTGGCTTCTGTATTTATTGGGAGAAATAAGGACATTGGTCGACGGCCCGGAGAGAACGTGCCTGTCGGCCTTGAATAAAATTACATTATATTAGTTATATAATATTTAGAATGTAAACAGATATTGCATACCTTCTATAGTAATTATGTAGATTACTCACATCCACTCATAATAAAATAACACACAATACGAATCAGGTATTAGTATACATAATTGTAATCTTGCGTATGGACCACATTTATTCGATCCTTTGATTTGGAATTGATGCAGCCAAGTGATTTATGATTCCAATTTATTTGATTTGTTAATTCAACCTAACCCAAATAGTATTAGCACTACCATAAACCGCTTGCATATAAAACTGTCCTGTCAAACAACCAATCGCTCACAAACTGGAGTTTTTTACTGTTTGGATTATAAAATAAGAGGGCAGGTTCCCTCTTTTATTCTTTTCTCTTCCTTTCTTTAACCGACCCTATTCATTTCTTTAAAGAGAAACCCCCGAGGAATAGAAACACACTGTATTAGACGTCTTATCGACTAAGACTCTCCTCACTCTCTATTCCTCGCTCTCTATTCCTCACTCTCTATTCCTCACTCCCTATTCCTCACTCCCTATTCCTCACTCTCTTCACTCCCTATTCCTCCTACCCTTTCTTGCATATGCAATAAAGGCATGGCAACGCTAACAACCTCACCACAAGTTCCGCTGACCAAAAGCCAGTCACGACAGATATTCGCACTACAGATATATGTATCATGTGCAATTGCCGTGTATGTCTACGACACTTTAGTATATTTAAGATCCGATTATCAAAACTGGTACAAGAAGAAGAAATGGCGCTCGTTCGAAGTGTTATTTTATTTGCTAATAAAGTAAGTCAATCAATCTAAAACAACCCAAGCTATATATCATATCTAACGCACAATAATTATTTCTATTCTTAAGAGTGAACACTTTACTCTTTGTCATATCGGTTATTCTTACCCACTACCCATGGTCTTTTGCGTCGACACTCTGTACACTCTTCTCCAACATTCTGAACGCATTCTGCGCAACGGGGATATTTATTCAGATATTCATTCTACTTTCTCGTTTCTATTACTTCTATCCATGCAGTCACCACCTCTTTTGTACACTATTTCTTGTGGGTGGTTGCACTTTTACATTACACTTTGTAAACATACCATGGTACGGTGAATCTATCGTCGAGAATGGTGGCAATTGTAGCTATACAAATGTCGAAAGCGGGGTCGTCTATGGATTTGCTATGATGAGTGTGTTCTGTGGCATTGTGCTTGTTGCAATCATGATAAAAGTTTGGAACAATAATTGCAACAAGAGTACGAATGATAGCGAATCTCAGAAAAGGCCAATTTCCAAGATTGCTTTGGAGGATGTGAGTATAATTATATTGATGCATTTTCCCAAGAAATTAGTTCACCAACCACTGTTAGATACCCCAAAATCGTAAACAAATTATGACTAACAAATATTTTTGAAATTCCAGGGCGTCTTTCACTTGGCTCTCATATTCCTCATCCACACCATTACCCTTGTTATGATTCTTGTTTTACCCAACCCAACTCTCAAATTCTTCAACTCGGATCCTGGAATGATCCTAACTTCTGTTCTCTTTCTTCGGCTAGTCGTCCTTGGTGAACCATCTGGATTTCCATCTTTCCGAACGTCAGTAATGTCGACAACATCAACGGAACCCGCGTTGCCAGAACCATATACTATACAATCGGCAGTGTTCATACGTCCGGTGAGTCTGGCGAGAGCAACGATAGTTGAACCGGTATTGCCAACACGGACGTCTATGTTGTTGTCGTTTGACAGTGGAGCTGAGATTGAGAATAAGCACGAGGAAAGATCAAATGAAGAATGGACTATTAATGTTGATGATCATGTTGGCGCTGGTAGTATCGACCCTGTTAATAAGATCAAGGATGAAGGCCCGAAAGATAGTAGCAGCGAGCAAGAAGATCGAAAGGGAGAAGATGATGACGTGCTTATTGATGCCGGGGAAATTGGATCTGATTCTGAAGGAACAAATGCTGATGCAAGTGAAAAAATATTCGGAGAAGACTCCGAGTCGCTAGAGCCAACCTCTACCAATATTTCGCAAGCTATTTTGATACGAAGAGATACTGTAAAAACGATAAGTCGGAATAGCATGAGCGGACGGAAGTACAACCCTACGTTAGTTGTTCATATGAACACAGATGATAGTCACAAGATTAAACGTTCGCTAACGTTACCTAATCTCATGCGGAATAATAGTTCTAGAAGACGGTTGTCGGTAACGAGACAAAGGAGCGAAAATAGAGGAGAATCGGGTAACAGAGTAAAGAGAGTCAAGAGTTTGCCAAAAATTGGCAAGAAAACAATTGTACGGGACTTTGATATCACTGGGAATAACAGTGATTGAGCACAAGACGTGGATAGACTTGATATAGACATTAGTATTTAATTTGTTTATAGAATGGGAACTGTCGTATAATTGTGAATTTTGTAATAAAAGTAAATAAACTGGTTAATTTAATATTGTTTTCGCCAAGTGTTGTATCTACAACGACAAAAGCAACTTGGCAAACCGAACAGCTCTGTTTATTGGTCATTGCAGCTCTTCCATTACTTTGCATCTTACATAAATCTAAGAACCGTATCAACACTGATAGTCAAGCAATTGGTTTCATGTGCAAAAGTTGATTTGAGTGAAGAAATGTTGCCACATGAACAATGCTCTCTGATTGCAGTAATAACAGTACTATTCATTATGATTCTTAATTATAAATTTTCAAATTTAACATCCGACATGTGCAGTTTCAACATTAAGTACCAGCATAACATGTGTTAGGGGTATCCCATGTGTTATCCCTGAACAAGCAGTGATAGACAGTCTTGCTCCCAACTTGGATAAGATTCAAGGTAAAATATTTATCCATGTAATAATGTTGGTTATTTCTTACTCTTTCTCCATGATCGCTTTGCATAAAATCTGTAATTTAATATTAATATAGGGGCTGCATTTATTATGTTTAATTGCGAAAGCTTTCATCGAAAAAGAGCCCAATCATTTCAGCAATTTATAATGCCGACATCTGTATACAAATTACTAACGGACTGTAAGCTAGAGATGCTTGCATTGATAATATGGTTGAATCGACCTTTGTAGATAATGCATTATGATCTATTTACCTTGTTCATTGTTTTTCAAACTCTTTCTTTATTACAAGCGAAGTAGACAAAGTTAAATTAACTGTAGCAATCACAAGTAATTGTGAGTTGCAGGTTCAGAACTCTGTCGAATCTCTTCAATACATGTTCACTTTCGTATCTCATCATAGAATAACTGCCTTGCCAAAAGGCAATTGATTGCATGGCTACGTAAGACACGTGATCAAATATAGTTTACTGATTAATTGACGTCATATTCTATTATCTAATCTATACGTGGCGTACTGTGGCTTATTTTTTATTTAAAAATTTGATCCCCAAATACACATTTTTAACTGTAATTAAATCTATACGTGCACATCTAAATTTTCCCTATTTCCCAATGTCGTTCTCCTACGCCGATGCAGCACGAAAACCTCCGCTGCCCTCGCTTGACTCTTCGTATGAAAACCTCGAAGCTAATATTATAATCGAAGCAAAGAACGCTGTTAACTCTCAAACCTCCTCCAGCGCGACAAACCAATTCTCAGAAAGCTCAGAAGTCGAAGACAAGACTGGAGAGAACTATTCTGCCACTTTGAAAAGACGAGATGTCTCTCCGGAAACTTTAAAGTCTCTACGAGAGGGCGACAATGAGGACAGTGGGGAACACGAGGAGAGGCGGAAGAATACAACAAGGACAAGAGATATTAAAAAAGATAAACCAAAGAAAGAGTTGACTGGGAAAATGATTGCTTTAAATGTTGCAATTGACGTTGTTCTGGCTGGTCTGTTTGTTGGATGGATATATAAAGGACAGAGACCGCTCAACAAAAGTTTTATCACGTTTGGCAGCATTGGACTGTCTGCTTTTTATGGTTGGCAATGGTAAGGAAGGGGAATCGTGACGAACAAAAAAAAAGAGATTGTGCGCGAGCATTATTGTAATTCTTATGAGAGTTTACACTAAATCGACCGTAAATCGTTGATTTGTAGGTTTGGTTATATGAAAGTGCATTCAAAATAAACCGCCGTTGCCGTTGTCCAAGGTGTCTTCTTAGGTGTACAAATTTGAGTGCGATTGGTATTTCATATGTAATTTAGCAAATGCTTTATTCGCAGACAGGACTTGCCGTAGTGTTGGGTATTGAGTCGTTTATAATGATAATAGTATAATGAGGCATTGGTTTGTTGATTTTTGATTGAATTTCCGAGTATGACACGCCGGAAAGGACAAGAATTAACACCAAGTACAATATATTTCGTTGTTTCTAAAAAATGTCTATACTACGAGAAAGTGGGTGTGTGAAAAATTCAATCAATGTCACCAGTGAAGAAATCACTGCTGCATATTTTCTTTGAGCGTATATTCGGGACGAGCTAAGCATTATCAGACGATTATTAGACATATCAAACATATGTCTCGTCTAGTTTTCCTGATCCAGTTGAACAAGTAGAGTCTACTATTATTATTGCATTGATATGCCAATAAAGTATGGAATACCGTTTTAGTTTCGTGACAGAACGTTCCGTTGTCACGGCCACCATCCGAAAAAGTAATATCCGTTCATTTACCCGAATAAGGCACGAATGATATTTAAAATTGTCGAATTTATACAAGATTATCCTTCGGCATACACTCTGATCGTTGTTCATATTCAGGCCTACTTGATTTGATCAAATATTTACCGCGGAAAAATTAATGGCAAGAAATTGCCCATACATTGACTCTTCAAACCTTTTACTGTAATAATGATTGTGACAGATTTAAACGAATCGTTCCGAGTAGACACATTTGCCATTGCAAAGAATCAATAAGCTAGTATAGAGAACATGGTTTTAGTACAGTGTCAACTGGATCTATACTAGACTCAAAATACCATCTAACTAATCTGTATAATCGGTCCGTTTAACGAGGTCTATTTATATAAAATTCAAAATTCCAAGATAACTTCCTACGATTCTCATCGTCAACATAAGTTGAGTTGTCAAGATAATTGGGAGATCCGCAACTTGCTAACATTTGTTTACGAACAGAAAGATGAGGTATTAATAGAAGGGATTGTTTTGATTCTCTTGATATAATAAATAATAAGGTTAGCCAAGTTAGTCAAAAGGGTCGTGTTCAGCTGAGCTTTTTGTCCTCGTAGATCAACAGACACTTATCGTGCGCCTCATATTACTTTATTTCCCCCACGTTATGCTCTTATGTATTAGACTTTCGATAATTGGAACCCCTCGGACACAAGACACAATCCGTTGAGCATGTGAAAAAAGTACATTCTAGACGCCGGCGTTAGGTCAATTGGGATCAGGGAAGCACCACCGAGGGCCGTAGCTACAGATAAGGCCCAGAAGAGGCTTAAATAAAGGGTCACGTCTAGATGTCCTCACATGATTGAGCAATGGTCAATATCCAGGATCAGGTCATTAAGCAAATGTTTGATATCATCCATCTATGTTGAAAGTTCACCAAATCCTTATGCATGACAGTCAGTAATCAATATGTAGCCACGAACATGATATATATTCCAATAACACACGTGAACATTAGCTTTAATGAATGTCTGTTTGGTACATTATTTCTTGCCCCCCGGTTTGCTCTGTTGTTTTATGACCCTCTTAACGATCTTTTGCTCCTCAATGAGGAAAGCACGAACGATGCTATAATGCAAAAAAAATGAGTACGACGCGAATGAAATCTTGCCAACAAAAGTTGCAAAACTTGTATAGAAATCAACGACGCACCGATCCCTCACGCATCTGGCACACCGACTTCCACCATAAGCTCGCGTGACTGTCTTTTGTCGTTTACTAATGCGAGCATATTCGCGGGGACGAAGAGCTGGAATCTATTCAATTGGCATAAAAAAAAAGAGAAATCATTGATGATAGTTATAATTAACGATTATTTAATAGACAGATAAAGAAAAATCTTGCTTTTCCCTCTTCACTTATAGCATTTCGAAACTCATTCTTACCCCTGGAAGTCGATTCCCACAATCACCGCATTTTGGACCTTTGGCTTGCTTTTTCTTGTAAAGATACGTCAACTTGCCACCTGTCAACAATATTCACTTTGCATAAACGACTTTTAAATGTACGACCTCTGGAGACGACGGATCGTTACTAACCAGGCGTTTTGACGACTTTCACTTTATTCGACCGAGTGTTGTAGGATAAACGTCGTCTATATGTGAGGCGTTGAGCCATTGCTGTCAATTCGTTAAAAGGTAATCAGCCAAGCAATGGATGTGAAAAGAGAATGAACAAGTAGCCTACATTCTAGTGGAAATAAAAAATTTTGTGTGGCTAGCATGTGACCATATCACGTTACCAAGAGAATAGTTATGCAAATTTTTTATTTCTTTTTTTACAAAAACATAAAAAGAACAATTAAAGTAAATTCTCTATTTACAATGGGGATAGATAAGCCATTAATATCGCCAAAAAACACACATCATTGAAAGCAACAAAAAGGCTCATCGCGCCTTTTTGTCTTTATTCAAACAATTAGGTCAATGTTCCCTTTTATATCTATAGAATGTTATCTTTTCAAACAACGCTCTACTGATCTCTAAAATTATTCTCTATTCTTTAAGACAAGAAATCCATCTCCACTAATAACGCCTACTCGTGCTACCAACTCCCTCAGAATTGCTCGGTTTCGATCATCTTTCTTTATTTTATCTTTTAATTCTTTGATCAACTGCCGTGTAGTCATCTGCGGACTACTTGAAATGATACGCACGACCTCCGCCTCTGTAATTACAGCAGAAGAAGAGTTAGTTGTAGGCGCTTGAGAAGGCCGAGGAGTCTGTCCAGTCTGTGTTGACGTCTTGGGTTGGGACGATGGCTTGGGTTGAGATGGTGGTTTATTTTGAGATGGTGGTTTATTTTGAGACGACGGTTTGGTTTGCGAAGCTGTCGAGGAGGCTGATGACGCTGATGTAGTAATTTTTAATTTCCTGGGAGCATCCCTCGATTCTGCAAAAGTCTCAGAAGTAGACCGTCCCATAACAATGTTAATTTTAGGTTTGGAAGATGAGACAGGCTTAACATCAACGCCAGTATCCGATTTAAGTTTCTTTGCTGGCTGTGTGGAGACTTTTGGCAGAGAACGCTTCTGTGGAATACCACTTGTTTCGGTACCAGACTGTGATGTCGAAGCAGCAGGCTTGCGTTTTGCTACTAATCCTGCTTTTCCTGCCGCTGCTCCAGTAACATCAGATGTATTCGTCGGCGATTTAACACTATTCGATGACGAAACATATCCTGGTGATACTGCTTGTGATCCGTTAACAGACGCATTGGTGCGCATTGGGGGTACAGGTGATTGAGATCGAGGCACGGCCGATAGCTTCTGGTGAGAAAGCTGGGATGACTTTGATTTATGCGATTGAGAGAGCTTCGTACCATCCTTTGTCTTTTGTGCGGCAGACACAGGTTTACCTTTAGCATCTGCCGTTGATTTAGAAATGGCTGATGGTTTTGATTTGGAAGGGACGGTTTTATTTTTCGAATCTGTGGGCAGCTTTGTGCCGGTGGTTGGTCTGGTTTTTTGGGGGACAGTGCCTACCTTGGTCGTACTGCCAGCCTTACTTTTCGGTGCTATTTGTGGCGGTTTCTGTGTTGCTGTACCTGATGTAGTCTTACCGAGTTCACCAGACGATTTTTCCTCATCTTCAGTATCCTCTTCTTCTACACTACTAGCATAGGGATCTTCTTCTTTATCACTAACATACGCTTCGTTTTCCTCCAGAGAGCGCACGAGTTTCTTCATCTGTTTACCAGTAGATGTGAGTGTTTCCGGTACCTCTTCCTCCAAATCTTCATCATCCGAACCCTTCCTCATTGATTTCTTTTGTCTCCTCTCGACCTCTTTTTCCTCTTCGTCTTTTACTTCAGCGGGAGCTTCCTCGTCATCTTCAAACACTTCATCAAAGTCCCACTCCTCATCAACGTCACCCCGAACTTTCCGCTTATTAACATGTGCCTCTTCGTCATCTTCTTCCCCAAATAAATCGTCATCATACGTTTCGACTGTTTTCAGGGTTGATTTTCGGTCAAATATGCCTCCTTCTTTTGCTTCGAGCTGTTCATCCTCCGCTGATTTACTCCATTTGTGCATCATCCAACGGTCATTGTCACGTTTAGCTGCTTTCGCAATAGCCTCTTCGGCTTCTTCTATAGTCAGTGTACGATGTCTGATCTTTGGTTTGAATTTATACCATTTATCTACGCACACCACTTTGAAACCATCGTCTGTGAGGAGAAACAGGGCATAATTAGCTCGTTGTCCGCCTTCGAGTTCGCCAATATAAGTGTTTGTTCCGTCGTAATCTTCGAGAACCCATGGTTTTTCTTCTTCTGCTCTGAGCTTCCTAGATTCTTCTGGCGCAATGTGGACTTGTTTCGTTTTTTTTTTGAACAGATTTTGGCGATTTCTGGTGGCATTACCGTATGGTGCTATTTGGGATGTATCTGTACCAGGTGCTTTTGCTGATGGACCTGGAGTTGGCGTGTTAATTATGGCGTTTTCAACAGGTGAGGCAGTTGCTTGATTGCGAGGAGGCGCACTTGGATCTCGCCGCACAAGCTTAACGGGTGGGGTGAACAGGCTTGGATCAACACGCTTGGATGATATAAAATTCATAAGATTTACCTTGTTTTTTGCTTTTATAGAAGAAGATTTTAATTTAAACTGTGTAAATGATCCTTCTCCCGATCTTTCCTGTTGCTGCTGCTGAAAATATTGCCTTTGCGGTTGATGAACCATCGATACTTGTCTACTCTGTTGAATAACGGATCTTTGGAGTTGCGAACGAGATACGCTAATCATTTGCTGTTGTCGTACAATAGAGTGGCTGACGTTCGGTTGAACTATGGAGTTTGGCCGCGGTTGATTAATTGAAAGTCTTTGATTAACCATGGTTCCCGATTGGTTTAGCACTCTCGACTGGAAACTAAGAAGTTGTTGTTGTTGCTGTTGCTGTTGCTGTTGCGTTTGTTGTGTTTGTTGTTGTAAAGTTGAGATAGCTTGTGGCCTTGGTTGTGCGGATGGTTGCATACTAGGTCTAAATTGTCCTTGAGTTGAGTTGTTGTACCTGTTTGCCATTTTTGCTAGATATGACAAAAAGTGAACTGGTTAGAACATGTCGACAAAATGTAGTAAATATGTACGTGTTCAGTAAGCTATATGAGATCGAGCCTGTCACTAACCCCTCGTCCAAGCTGAGCAAAGAGCAAGAGGCAGCGATTAGTCCTTGTGCCCAATGTTTTTAAATATTGTAATAGGCCAATCAAAACACGGTTTTGTATTGTTATCAACCACGTGATATTTGAGAGTATTGTTAAGGAATATTATGTCCCATTCTTTGCAATTGCATTATAGCACTCTTTGCACCATTCAAAGGGCTTTTGCGGTTTCAGGGCATGAAACGGGTTTGTCTCCCTACAACGTATCTTTGTCTGAAAGCAGAACTCGGGTGTATTAATTCTATGCATTAACTCTTACCCTGATCGGCATGTGTACGACTAAAATTGAGATCGGCGAATAGAATTTACCACATTTTGTTTGAACCTTTCAAAATGCATTGCCGTATGGAAAACGACAACTATGCGTACGACAATAACTCTCTTGTAAATAGAGGAAACTTCTAATTGTATGAAAAGAATATAATTAATATTCTCTTTAATAACTTGTTCAGAGTCCCCAGCTTAATTAACTAAAGAACCAGGCATCAAATTAAGGAATAAGATTTAACTCTGGAATGAGCGAATAGTATTTAGTTATTTCTCCCGCATACATATATTTATATATGAACATATGCTAAAAGACTGTAAACATTAGATAGTTCTTTTGTATTAATCTCACGAAGTTTGTTATGTAGCCACTACGTTACGAGCCGACAGAAAGACACACCCCGTATTGATACAAATAAAATGTTAACACGACATCTTTAAGTCTTGTTCTTAGCAAACGTGCCCGACCTTTACATTGAAACATGGATTACAAGAATACCGACTTTGATCGAATCTTTTATAGCACCGTTAAGAACGAGTTCAAGTAATATATAAAGACACTAATTTCTTCAGTGAATAACAGACATGAGACATTATTTGCGGTATTTAATTTCAACGTAAATCTTAGTCAAAGCTTCAGAACCGTTTTCGTAGAATTCAATGCAAGCACAGGCTCATGTAAGTGATAATTAACTTTTAAAGCTATATTTAATCATAGCTAAGTTTAATAAATGTATGTGCTAACCAACTATATTAACATAGATTATCAGTAGACTCTATCACCTTTAATCCTCAGCACTGGCAACTGTTATTTCCAACTGATAAACCAGACGCCCAGAGGATCATGTGGAAACACAACGCTGTCTTCGGTCTTGCTGAATCCATTTTCCTTTAACATTTTTAAAGCAGTTTCTGTTCCCCAGCAAGCGCCTAAACCCGGTCCACCGTCTACCAAAGAACTGGGCACACAACACATGGTGCTAGCACTATACATCGCAGTACCGAAAGGGTGAGGCCTATTCTTCTCGAGATCGCTTGAAAGACCAACGTCCTGCATTATAAATACTCCGTCTGCCTTCAACGCACGATGGATACCCTTTAGTGCGTTCACTGGGTCAGCTAAATCGTGGATAGTATGCATAGCAAGGATGACGTCGTATTCGCCAGCTTCTTTCAGCTTGGAAATATCTTGTACGCGGAAGGAGATATTAGTAAGACCAGCAGACGCGACATCCGCATTGGCGACAGCTACTGCTTCGGTCGATCTGTCATATCCGACGAAAGTACTGTTTGGAAAGGTTTTGGCAAGATCGATAATTACTTGACCGCGTCCACAACCAACATCGAGCACTTTGCTTCCTTTGTTAAGTCTGTCGTGTAGCACAGTAAGACCAGGAAGAACGACAGTATGCAATATGGAGCCAACGGACAGGTATCTTTCTTCGGCCATGACTTCTTGAATTCGAGGATATTCGCTTTCCTGCAATCCACCGCCATTTTTAAAGCATTCAAGAATGCCATTTTCGACAGATCCAAGAATCGCAATGTATTGAGCAAAGATGGCAAGGTTTTGAGGCCCAGACGCTCTTGTAAGGAACTGCGAATGTTCTTGAGGAAGTCTATAAGTCTTTGATTCACTATTATACTCAACAATATCCCCAATTACCAGGGCTCCCAGCCATTCCCTGACATAGCGTTCATTGAGTTTAGCTTTATCGGCAAGGGCTTGTGACGAGACGTATTCTGGATAGATTGTCGCAAGAGTATCAAAGAGACCAGTACGATGGCCGAGAGATATCATCAGGGTAAGCGCTCCATTATTGAGTATTTTGACAATATGCATCATGAACGCTTGAGCTTTCTCAGATGGTTGAGTGGACATTTTGAGTTGAGTTGATGGTGTATTGCTAGTCGAGTTTATTTGCTTTAATCGTGTTAGCGCGCGTTTGACAGTCTTTATTTATAAAGAATATTTTTGCGATACATGCTTCACGACAGATGCCGTCAGGGTCATGTCAACTATGGATTATTTTGCATTAAAATTTGCCTTATTTTCAACAATGATATGTTTTCGTTGATTTACTTATTCTTTAGTCGTATTATAGAATCAGTTTTGCCAATTGTGTTGTGGAACTATGAGAGTGGTCATTATTGCTAGTAAATCATTTCGAAAATGGTGTCGCAATTTGATTGAGTCTTAGATAATGTGTGCCTCACCAAGACTTGATTGGAAAGCGCCACATTGCCGCTAAAGGGGTTCCATTGAGAAAGGTCATATTCCTCCTTTGGTATTATTTACGAGAAATGTTCTCGATTTGTTTTGTGACTCATTAAAGATGCCCTGTTAATGTCGTACTTTTACTACTTTCATAATAATTATATAATTTAACTTTTGACTATTGTTATGGTGACTCGATATAACATACTCCTATATTAATATCAGAAATGCCTTTTAAATGTTTCAATCAGAATAAAACACAATATGTAAACTCTATGACAAGCCATGGACCAAACCCGCCATTTTTTTACTCTTTAGTGTAAGTCAACTGCTAAATAAAATTAAGCATCAAGGTAGAAATGGTTTGATTTGCTTGTCAGAGTGCAATGATAATTTTATTAGGTAAACTTGTTAAGCAAGCGTTAAAAGCACAACGGAAGGGCGATAAACTAAACTTTCGGTAGGTGAATGTACGTTGGAATGTAAGATATATTATTTGAATAGTAAATGTAAATAGAAGATAGCGTGTTATATAGCTAGAAGGTATGTAGTAATGTAAATTTGAATATTCAGATTATCGGTTTAGACCAATTAACCCGGAGATTGTTTTCGATACTGAATAAAGCTGTGACAACTATAAAAATATTAAATATGTTGGTCTAATGTTAATGTAAATAAATATTCAACGTTCAGCATCAGATTGCCAAAATCTATCGATAACGTAGACGAAGAATACTAATCTAATCTATTTTCATTTTACACACCGCCATTATCATTATCAATGAACTAATCCTTGTCCAAAAATGTTGCCTCCAAATTTTGCTACTGTTCTGGCGAAGAAGTTCTTAGACATGGCCTTGACCATTGGCATGCGAGGCAAATTTAGGCACTTTGGTCGACGGCTTAATTTTGCTTCAGTAAAATTGGTTTTTGATAATGCGAAAAAACTGTCGTCCTATAGCCTTTAAACTTTGCTATTGTAACCTTTGTAGTTATAAGAGTGATACTATTAGTAATAACGCACATTCGAATAGTTTTCCGGTCATATTAAATTCTCACGCTATATCAGTTTAATTAATAAGATCCGTAATGCGGTTAGCGCGAAATAAAAATATGAGATCGCATTAGTCGAGAATATAAATTTAATAATAACTGCTGCGTAAAAACTCGCATTAAGCATTCCCAGCGCATAATGAATAAACGGAAATCAACCATGACGCAATAACATTGTTACTCCATCTAACAATCCTTATCACAGAAAAAATGTGTCTTCCACTGTGAATTCTTTTATGAGCAATATATATAATATCCAAAGTATTCTACAGCAGGAATATGATAGTATGCAAATCACTAACTACCACTATTACTGCTATATGAGTGGATATTTTCAAGTTACCTGCAACTTATTCTTTTACAGCGTTTTCATTATGTTTATTGTCAAATGCAGTAGCAGCTATGCAACAATAGAAAAACGTTAGGCTGTTATTATTGTGTCATACAAAAATTTTTGCAAAGATCACTTGACATTGATCGTGTAAAGAGTTATTTTAGTTGTCACTAAAATCATGTGAAAATTATAAGGTAAGCTTTGCAAGACTGTTCTAGTCCTCTACGCGGTATTAGCATTGCCTTATAAGGAAAAGAAGATAAAAAATGAATGATGTCATACGATTCTTATTTTTAAGTATTTGTTTTCATTACATCAACATTCGTTCTTTATGTAATCGATGAATAGTTTTCTTAATAAGACGTTTGCATTGTAATAAAACGTTCGTATCTTCTGTTTAATGTGCATGATTATTGTCAACTCCGATATCGTAACAATGTTATTGTAACAAAGTCTCCTTCTTTTTCGGCTAGTCCGTTATAGTGCGATCATCAGAAAAGGGACGAAAATAAGCCGTGAAGTGACGCAACAACAGGTATATGACTGGATGCTGATGCGGCATTTTCTGAACAAGTAAAGGAGTAGTTGCGGCATTTTTTAAACGATGAAAAAACAATGCATTGCGTCAGTTATGGTTACTTCCTTGTCGGCAATAGAGTTTGTGACCCACAGCCTCCGAATTTCATTTGGGTAATTAGACCAAAAACGGCAACGATATACAGATAATCATTCTCTATTTAAAGGACGGCGGAACGTCTCACTTTCATCTTTCAGCTTCAAAAAGTATCATACTGCAAGCAACTCACAACTCAACTCACAACTCAACAACCTTCTTCAAACAAATCAAAAATCTAACAATGGAACCTATCGTCGATTATGGCTGTACCAACACGTAAGTGTAGGACCTATAATAAATCCAACCGAATTATAATCACGAATCCAACTCTAATGTAAATTTCATCGAATTAGTTCTTGCACCTGCGGAGAATCATGCAAGTGTGCAGATGGTTCTTGTAACTGCGGAAAATAAGGAGAGACAGGTACATGACCAAACTATTATTAAACTACTACACACCATCATTAGTCATATCTATTAACATAAAACCGTCACTTTGTAATAGTACGATATATAACCGTTGAAGGTTGCAAAATCGTAACTCTCATATCTAAAGAGAACTGTTCATATTAAGTTCTTCAAATTGTCGCTTTGCAGAAACTGAAATAAATATTATCTTTGTGTGAATACTTATGTCTGTCTAAGATTTGTCATTAATACAATATACGCTTTCTACTGTATGAAGACATTGAGGATATTGTTCTTCACGCTGCCAAATCGCGAATTCGCTAGACCATTGAGAAATTTGTTTATTGTAGTCGCCGAACGGCGTATTGTTGCGAATGGGTAAATAAGATACCCACATAAGAATACTCCTGCATCCCATCTACCACATTCTCGACAAAGGTCGACATTTCCACTTGAAAAAGTGTTCAATTTTTGAGACAGTCGCCATTTTACTTGAAAGTCCTTACTTCGTAGATAGCACTGTACCTTCTGAATATAGCTAACCGAATCTGTGAATGACTAGCCTTATTGCTATGGTTCAGAGGGCAGATAGCGGATAGAAAGATATCCCCGTTCCCACGGAAGATGATGGAAGATGATGGAAGACAATGGAAGATTATGGAAGAATTAGATTATGTAATCGAAAGGTCGTCACCGTATAAAGAATGCGATACTCCAAAGCTTGCCATTTTAGTAGTTATAAATGGAAAAGATAATAACCGTGATTTAGTGGCTCTCACGGTTTTCATCGAGCCAATCCGTTTTGGAAATCAGTTTATCGTTGGCTAGATCTCATCAGCTGTACGACAAAAAAGGTAATGATAGTACAGTCAACCCTCTCTATAGTCACGCTGTCGGGAACAATGCAACTTTTGTTGAAAATGTGCTTCTAAAGAGGTTGTGACTATATAGAGGGTTTTTTCTATAAGTTCAATAGTAATTGGTTCTCAAACATGGCGTGCTTATAAAGAGGTTTTTATATGATGTGCTTATAGAGGGGGTGACTATAAAGAGGGTTGACTGTACCGCCAATCAGTATGAGTGCTGGTAGCACAAATCATATTTGCCAATCAGATAAATCACTGTACTTTTTACCAAATATGGTATCGAGCCATCGAAGGAAGATGCCTGATGGTATTACTATTACCCCTTTTGGAGGATGGCTATGCATTGCCAAATTTAAATTTGTAATTTCTTACTATGTATTACCAAATTTGTAACTGGTGAGAACGCACTTAGTTTTTCAATTAACGATGGTAATGCTAATACTAAACTAATATAAGTTATTAAATTAACATCTTCATGTTTGATAAGTCGAACTAATAAACAGTCTGTTTATAAGCTGTTCTTCAACATCGCAAGAACCAATTTGCACATGTCACATGATTAATACCATTGAGTGACGTCGTGATAAACACAGCCCTCAAAAAAAATTTCCCTTCCTCTTTCGTCTTTGGTAGACAACCTCAACATGAAGTATGTTAAGCAGGATTACTATACAAGTTTGAGAGGATAATAAACAGCCGTTGCGTAGATACCTGAATCAGAAGCGCGTGAGACAGTTATATATCCTCATTCCTTTATTTTTATGCCACTACATTAAGGATCGAACAAGATTATTTCTCTGGTTACAAGATCTATCCGGGCAAAGGTAAACTATATGTCCGGTCGGATAGCAAGGTACGTTTTCTTCTATCGTGTTGGTGAGATGGTTACTGTTATTCCTTTTCGTAGGAAGCATTACAACCATTAAATGTGTAAATCATTGCAACACTCTTGAAAGCTTCTTCGTCGTTAAGCTCTTCAATTCTCTTTCATCTAAATTATCATATATTCAACACAGGTCTTCCGTTTAATTGGATCAAAAACAGAATCTCTCTTTCTCCAACGCCTTAATCCGCGCAAGATCTCATGGACCCAAGTCTACCGACGCATGCACAAAAAGGGTATAACTGAAGAAGTGGCAAAGAAACGCTCTCGCCGTACTGTCAAACGACAACGTGATGTGGTTGGTGCGACATTGGAAGCTATTCGGGATAAGAGGAATCAGAAACCCGAAGTTAGAGAAGCTGCTAGATTGGAGGCATTAAAGGCAGCGAAAGAAAAGAAAAGAGCCGAGGCTGCCAAGAAGAAAGCTGAGAAGGCTAAGGTAGGAGAATTTATATTCTATTTGTGGAAAGAGAAAAAGAGGGAAAAGTATAACGCTGAAGAGTAATACGTCTATCGAGGAAGCTGTCAAGATGCAATACAAATACAAACCGTGCATAGCGAATCGAAGTTGAAGTTTGAAACTTGTTTTGAATATGATTAACCGTTATAATCTTTCTTTGAACAGGTCACTCAAGTGTCTAATCGTGGACAACAAAAGATTTCTAAACAACAAGCCCGTGGTGTACAAGCTAAAGCTTCTGCAAAGAGTCGTTAAGAATGTGGTATGAAATCAGTAGACCATAGTTTGAAGAACTAATGTTAATTAATAAAATTTGATCATGACATTCTCTTCATTCCTTCTTCGAATGTTTTGAGATCTGCCCTTATTAACTATAAACGAATACTTTAACTTAGCCCTACACTATGTGGTTGCCAATCCCACTGCATGACAATCCATACTCAATGACTATATTCCTATAGTATGTGATAAGAATTTGAGTTAGTGGAACAAGATATCCAACATCCATTGACGCAACAGCGTGTTACGTCGATTATCTGATTATACTGCGGCCCGTCTAGCATTTCTGGCTGTGTGTGGTTTTTGCCTAAGCTTCAGCTCCTAAAGTTCCAGATTGATCCGATCGCATAGCGAGTCCCAGTCATTTCTTCTCAAACCACAAAGTCGGCGGTACTTGTTGCGAACTCGACCAGTGTCTACGGAAAACGTAGATGCAAACTGTTTATCTATTAAGCGCTTGAATATCGTTATCCTTGGCTACAGTCCAATATGCCGTCCTTTCCCATTTAAATTTCAAACTTGCGCGCGGCGAATAAATAGTATCATGTTTTATTGCAAGCTCAAATAACACAATGTATTCGTTTTCATAAGATGGATGTAGAACTTTCATGCAAAGTAACTATAAGAGTTGTTCTGATTCTGGAAAAAATATCACAGGTTTAGCTACGGGCACAGATTTGTTAGTTCTAGATAAAACAACCTTCTATCTGGTTATGGTCTATCATTCATCCTCGTCGTTCTACGCTCTAATTCGGAGGAATTAACATGTAGATGAGAGTATGGACGTTTTAGATTGGGGTTAAGCTTTTTTTTTTTTTTAATCATTGTTAAAACGTATACACCTTGCAAATAAACAAATGGTAATGTTGATTGTCAAACGCAATTCATCACATCAGTCTGGCCATCAAAGTTTCCAATTTGGGTCTTTGTTGCTTATATAACAGGTTTCAACACATGTTGTCGTGTTCTTTCAGGCAACTATTTACACTTCTGATTCCTGTCTTTATAGAATGCTTTTGTAATGCTTGAGTTGGATCTGACTTGACAAATGCTAGCATCGATTCCAATATAGTTTTGTTTCTATTCGGTTGACTGCGGTGATTATTAAAATACAAAAGTAGTTAAATCAAGCAGAGCACTCGGGAAAAATTCCACGCGACACAATAACGTAGTTCAGATTCATCACAGTCCCATCTTGGTATCAATTTAAAGTCAATTTATTTAGTCCGAGCATTCTCCGACTTTTAAACGTAATCTTTTTGTTTTCAAAATTCTCATTATGAATCCGATACAAGTACGCTATGCAGACTGTACGGGACAATAACAATAAGAAGAGTCGGTCACCGATTTATCAACAATGTTTGTGGCCCAATCGATTTTTGATGTAATCACAACCAATCAAACTACACATTAAAATTTAAAATGACGTATCTTATAAACAGCGAGAAATTCTGCTTTCTCTCAGTCGCATTACTAACGAAAGTCAAGTGTCATGACCTATGGAGCTTTTGAAAAAATATGACTCATTTATTGTAAATAATGCAGCACAAATTAGTTCAATTGAAAGTACTTTAAGGACTTTGACCTACATACTGCCTGGTATGCGTTGTTATCTAACTAATGATTACAAAGAATGGTGAGCTTGCTACTGATCTTGCAGTATGGTTTTTGGTTTCTTTCTCGTAGGACGTTTTGAAGACGCTGAATTTGCCTCAGAAGCACGTACTGTCTCAAGAATTCTATGTTGCTTTCATTGTTGATGTTCTGTTAATTCTATAGAGGCTTCTTACACTAAAATTTTTTTTAATTCTTAATCGACACGATTAAAAATTGATTGTCAACCAACAAAATTATACCGCACGATCGATCCTGTCTGTAAAATGTTACATAACCTACTATTACGGTCGCTACTGTGGATTGTATTTTCCCACATCACGATCAAAATCATATAATACAACGTCAGTATTTACGGCATTAAATCTAATCGGTCTATATCATGACTCCATCTTAGCAAGGGCAGCAACTCGCCTTCCTCCAACAAAGAAGCCTGTGCCTTCCCAACATGCTCGATACACACGTTATTGGATGCGCTCATCAAAGTTGTACCAAAGTGCAGCCGTGATGCTGACGTTGTTACAACACACGAGCGTGCTGTTAGAAATGGGAGCGCAGAAGAAGTGGGGACAGGATACAAAATGGAAGTTGATTATGATAGCAGAGATCGTAAAGTAAGTCTATGGCGTTGGAAATTAGTACCAGAAGATCTGGTTGAAAAGCAATAAGAGAATTTAATTTCAACATGTTCGTCTAGGGTGGTCTGTCGCATTATGATCTTGCGGAAAACCAGCCATCGATCAGTAACCGAACCTGCAATACCTCGTCGTGAAATCGACCCGTCGATCTTTGATGCGGAAAAGATCGCATACCCATTGGAATCCAAAGGCAATGGTACCCTCCAAAGCTCTCCTATAACACGCGAACACTATCACGTGAACGATACTTGGGTTGGACAGAGAACTGGTCGTACTAGACCAAAGCTAACCGTAGCGCTTTCGATGTCACCCAAAGACTATTTAGTAAGCAGGACATTATTGGTGGAGGACGTTAGAAAACCAAAAGATTTGGTACATAGGATAGAGGGCATTGGTAAAGTTGGGGAATACTTGCATGTTATTAGGCCTTTGATTTATGGTGAGTGGAATAATACAAGATGCAAAAATAAGATGTAAGGAGCGCACAAAGATGTCATTGCATTGTACTTGAGAAGCAATTTTCTGATTTCTACTCTTTACCACATAGTGCTTGCAATTAGAAAGTGGGGAAATCGGGCTTGGCGACCGTGGATAATCTCTTTAATAATCGAGCTACTGTCCCGATATATCGCTTATTACTACTATACGACTCGGATACCCGGCGGTCATCGCTGGTTGTCCACACTTGAGAAGGAAGAACAAATGCGAAGATTACGTCAAGTATGGTATTATCTTTTACGAGGGCCTTTATACGAAAAATTCACAAAGTAAGTTGGATTTGCTAACTGTCGCTTGTAGTTTATTGTTTCTAATGTCTCCAGGTAATAAAATTTCTCTTTATCTTTTCCAGAATATACATCAATGGTTTCTGTGATGCTGTCAGCACAAAACCTCTTATTTCACTCCTCGGGAGCATATTGAGAGACTATCAACCACTTTGGGAGAATATCCATTATTATACATCGTCATGAGACAGTGTACCCGAAAGGATACTAGTCTTAATGCGTGTATTCGGCTCCACTTCCCGGTAACGTTATCTAATATACACCTTTACTTAGACGAGATCTGATGATAGAGAAATAATTAGAGATTGGGTGTATTTGTTTATTATTCATCGTGACCAGATCTCGGTGATTCTCAGTGTTCTTTTCATTGCGATCAACTAAAGAATTAAACACTGTGACAGTCACGTGAAAAGCTAGTGCGTGTTGTTTTGCAGCAAGTTAATACTTGACTACCATGTTAAACGCAATTATTATGTCGTCCAGAACGTAACTTTTCTTGATTGACTACACCCTGATGCTGGGATGATAACGCAATATATCAAATTATAAATTAATACAATACGGATTTCTGGTTATGTCGAGAAGATCCGAATTCTATAAAAAGAGGAAGTGATAAATGGTATTCTTCGGTTGATTGACTTCCTTCAAAGAGCTGAAATACCTTAACTACTATTAAAAGGAGCTTACTATAACTCGGGGTAAAGAGTTGAATACTTTTTAAAATTATTTATGACAACGTATTTTTGGTAGATATCAATGAACTTGGACTATATCCTTGTACATTCATTGGAGTAGCAACATTTTATGGTCGGGTGTTGGAATATCGGAATACGTAGAAATAAAAGATTCTGCTCCTCTTTATAATAACTTGTCCTTGCTAAGAAAATACCACGTATATCCATCCGTAAGACAATCGACAATACTCGCGTCACAATCGCCTGATGTCGTGGAAATCGATGCCATCACAAATTTGACATTTTTACTGTCAAGGTGAAGAATTTTTGACAATTAAAAAATTCTAGAGTCGTCTTTGGCTCTTGAACAAAGGAAAATTTGCTTTAATACTTTTAAAGGGCATGTTAAATTTAACAATAGTCAGTTCATTTGACCGTTTATTGTTAATTAGAATACAATTAAAGTATGAAATAAATAAGTAGTCTCTACACAAGTCAAACTTATGTTTAATCATTATATCCTCAGCAGCAGGTAGAGAATATAGACTTTTTTACACCAAGGGTGTCGTCATTCAAATCATTTTGTAGTCCAATCGTCATATAAAACGGTTTAGGGTATGTATTGCTGTCGTCATTTAAAGCCTTTCTCTACATTCACTTTTTTTATATGTCCTCGGTGTCCCAAAACTCTTCCAGACATTTATCTAGTTGACATCCAAACGCGCATAAATCGTAATAAATTCGCGTTTTGTCGTTCATTTAAAGTTATAAACTTGGAAATGTGAAATCAGTAACTTACCATTTATAATTCGATTGTTATACGGTATATTAGAATAGAAAAACCAAGTTATAGATGCACATACAGAATGGGAATGATGAAACTATCAACGGACGGCATTCCTTCTGTTGTTGAGCTGAGAGTTGTGCGAGAAGAAACGTTTGGCTTAACTTAACTTTGTTAACGTTTTCCCAAGCGTAAGTAAACTCACAATATTTATGTCCTGGTCCAAAATAGACCGTAGCGATGAATTACATACAATAGGATGCAAAGTATCCCACCACTTTCAAAGCGTTATTCATTTGTTTCCCGAATTGGAAGTGGTGGGATACTTTTGCATCCTATTGTATGTAATAGTAACACACAAAAATAACAAACGACTAACGACACGAAATTCCCATTTGATTTCAAAGCGATTGTTATTACAAAAACGGAAGATGAAGAATATAAGATGCGCAAAAAACAATCATGTGATTTGCATAAAAAGTCACTCATTGTTGGACATTGGGAATGACAGTTACGGAAAGAAGACAAAATATAAATAATACTGTGTTTATTCAGATAATATTCTAAAGAGGCATAAAATCTGTTGTATATTAGGATTTCCTTCCAAGTAGTCAATAGTTGGCTATCGATGTATGAAGGGATGACACTGTGAAGCAATGTAGTATAGTATGGGATAAGACACATAAAAGCTACAACGGTACCACATGATGTATAACATTTGCAATGTTAAAGGCGACAAAGAACCCATAGACGTCACATGAATATTTTATTCCGATAACGATAATTAGACATGATATATAGATCATGTAACTTGGAGACGCCCATAAAATCTGCAAAGTCCGCAATGACTGGTAATTCTGATGTGAACATTATTAATAAAGGCAAGAATGACAGTAATTGTTGAATCCCACTGGCAGGTGCTTAAACACAATTTATAATTATAACAGCCTTGTCTCGATAATTTCAATCATATTATAACAGGACGCCAGATTCCAGACATGTTGAGCACTTGGCAAGACAATCGATCATATCCATTTTGATGGAATGCCTTCAAAACTGATTGGAGAAAATTGCCCCCCCATATTTGGTGTGTAAACATCTAGTACAAACATATGCTGCAGAATCAACAGTCACGGGAGAACAGGTAGCCATTAACTCGTAGGGATTAGCTACTTTCGAACAAAGCGTGGCTTCTTCTATTTATAGTTAAACCAAGTACAGTCAAACCTCGATATAGTCAAGTCGACGGGACGGGAATTTTTCTTTACTATATCGAAACTTCACTATATCGAGAATTTTCGATATAGTAAAGTTCATATAAATCTTCACTAGCAAATCTTATAGTAGTATAATAATAAATAACTCAAACGTTATTTCTACTGACGAATTTAATACTGTTGATCGATTTATATGGTACTAAGTTGTTTAACTATAACGTAACAAGTGTCATACCGTTCAATTATGTAGTAACCTCTTGATTCGGTTAAGCCAAAAAACAAAGAAACAAAAAGGAAACAAGAAAGACGTAAACATACCTTTAATCAACACGTGTTTGTATTATGATTGGTCAGAATCCATCAGGTGGTACAATATTCACTACAGTCAACTCTGTCTATACCGGCACGAGTGTTTTGGCAGTTTCTGGCCGTTATAACGAGAGACCGGTATATAAA